CAAGTAGGGGTTACTGGGACTCATTCTGACCACTTGATCCTGTCTGGTCGACGCTTACAAGTAGGGGTTAGTGGGACTCATTCTGACCACTTGATCCTGTCTTGTCGACTCTTACAAGTAGGGGTTAGTGGGACTCATTCTGACCACTTGATCCCCTTGGTCGACTCTTACAAGAAGAGGTTACTGGGACTCATTCTGACCACTTGATCCCCTTGGTCGACTCGTACAAGAGGTTACTGGGACTCATTCTGACCACTTGATCCCCTTGGTCGACTCTTACAAGAAGAGGTTACTGGGACTCATTCTGACCACTTGATCCCCTTGGTCGACTCGTAAAAGAAGAGGTTACTGGGACTCATTCTGACCACTTGATCCCCTTGGTCGACTCTTACAAGTAGGGGTTACTGGGACTCATTCTGACCACTTGATCCCCTTGGTCGACTCTTACAAGTAGGGATTAGTGGGAGTCATTCTGACCACTTGATCCTGTCTGGTCGACTCTTACAAGTAGGGGTTACTGGGACTCATTCTGACCACTTGATCCTGTCTGGTCGACGCTTACAAGTAGGGGTTACTGGGACTCATTCTGACCACTTGATCCTGTCTGGTCGACTCTTACAAGTAGGGGTTACTGAGACTCATTCTGACCACTTGATCCTGTCTGGTCGACTCTTACAAGCAGGGGTTACTGGGACTCATTCTGACCACTTGATCCTGTCTGGTCGACTCTTACAAGTAGGGGTTAGTGGGACTCATTCTGACCACTTGATCCTGTCTAGTCGACTCTTACAAGTAGGGATTAGTGGGAGTCATTCTGACCACTTGATCCTGTCTGGTCGACTCTTACAAGTAGGGGTTAGTGGGACTCATTCTGACCACTTGATCCTGTCTGGTCGACGCTTACAAGTAGGGGTTACTGGGACTCATTCTGACCACTTGATCCGGTCTGGTCGACTCTTACAAGTAGGAGTTACTGGGACTCATTCTGACCACTTGATCCGGTCTGGTCGACGCTTACAAGTAGGGGTTACTGGGACTCATTCTGACCACTTGATCCGGTCTGGTCGACGCTTACAAGTAGGGGTTACTGGGACTCATTCTGACCACTTGATCCGGTCTGGTCGACTCTTACAAGTAGGGGTTACTGGGACTCATTCTGACCACTTGATCCTGTCTGGTCGACTCTTACAAGTAGGGGTTACTGGGACTCATTCTGACCACTTGATCCTGTCTGGTCGACTCTTACAAGTAGGAGTTACTGGGACTCATTCTGACCACTTGATCCTGTCTGGTCGACTCTTACAAGTAGGGGTTACTGGGACTTATTCTGACCACTTGATCCTGTCTGGTCGACTCTTACAAGTAGGGGTTACTGGGACTCATTCTGACCACTTGATCCTGTCTGGTCGACCCTTACAAGTAGGGGTTACTGGGACTCATTCTGACCACTTGATCCTGTCTGGTCGACTCTTACAAGTAGGGGTTACTGGGACTCATTCTGACCACTTGATCCGGTCTGGTCGACTCTTACAAGTAGGGGTTTCTGGGACTATTCTGATGTGGAAACGACGGCACAAATGGCCAAGTCGTCTAAAGGATTTCAATTTGATGTGCAGAGTTGTGTCCCTTCGGTATGCCAGTAACCTATAATTGTTCATATCCTTGATTTTGTTTCTAGGCTTGTAATCACCCAGGCAGGTTTGAGGATTTCAGCAAAGTAGTAAACATCTAGGACCTGTACCACTTCAAGCTTTCCACACCAATTGACACACCATGAAATTTATCTGTGATACTGTTTAACCAAACTCACTCACTCAGGGCAAGACCCGTGAAGATCTGGGATAAAATAGGTCTTCAGCATCCAATGCTTGCCATTAAAGGCGACTATGCTTGTCATAAAAGGCGACTATGCTTGTCATAAAAGGCGACTTATGGGATCGGGTTGTCAGGCTCGCTGGCTATGTTGATGCATGTCATCATATCCCAATCGGGTAGATCAATGCTCATGATGTCAATCACTGGATTGTCTGGTCCAGACTTGATTATTTACAGACCACCGTCATATAGCTGGAATATTGTTGAGTGCAGCGTTAAACAACAAACAAACAAACAAACTCAGGGAAAGGTGTGAGTGTGGATGCGGCACAGAAGAAAATAACAAACACCAACAATACTGAATCATTCTATTACTCAATTACTATATAAAACATTTCATAAATGTACAAATGTGGACTTGAGATAAAAATAACTCCATGGATACTGACATGTTGAGCTGTGATCTGTGCTATGGTCTGCAGCCATAACTATCCATCATCAGGGCCTTTCTGTAAGTCTGATAGGCCCTGAATTAGCATATTATGTTCCAGCTGACCACATGGGAATGTGAAGAATTGGGGTAACCTGTCTGGTGTCCTGAAGGGACATTACTGATACTTGTAAAAATAACATGTCATCACTGGGTTATACTATATCCTAGCCAACCAGTGCATCACACCTGTCTAAAAGGGAGATAACTAGGATGTTAAACCATACCACAATAAACGTAGTCATAAACCTTGTGAAAAGCATGGTATAAAGTATATAACATATGCATACACCACACTTCAACCTTGAAGGGACTATAATCTGCTTGTATACTACTCAAAAGAAGTTAAAGAACATCCATTATGGATTCTTTCATATACTATACTTAATCTGTGTTCCTTAACTTCTTTTGAATAGCATACACACCAGGACACTGCATTGTGATGCTATCCAGATAATCATTGTTTACAATTTGTAACCATAGTAACACTGGTTGAAAAGTGTTTTTTCAAGGTAAGATCATCAAACTTGTCAGTCAGTTGAAATTAAAGAGAAATGAAACAGTTACATGGTGTCACCCTGTTTTGAACCAATTTTGAACATTTTTCTGAAATTAGACAACTTATTGTGGGAAGAAAAGAATATTCTCAAAAACATTTCTTATTCAACAATTGACATTTTTGGTAGGAACTTTAAAGCAATGAAATAAATTTTTTTAAATTTCTCATAATGGTTTATGTAAATAGTATGTAATATCAGCATATTCAGTACAATTAAAAAACAGACAATGATTCGTTGTTTACAGTAAAACAGTACAATTTGAAGTTTTTCAAGATTTAACATACCATATATATATTTCCACACCCTTGAAACCTCTTTATTAAACATTAAATAGCCTTGACCTCATTAACGGTGAAATGATACCTGGTTACACACAGGAGCAACCAATTGTTATGAATTGTGGGAACTGTGTTGCCCCGGCAACAACAACTCCAGGATAAGCTGATGCCCTCGATTTACCCAAAGACATACATCTATATACGTCTTTGGTTTACCCCACAAACGGCATAAATACAAACTTGTTTTCGACATGGCAAACATCCATTAAACAGAACACATTCATTGGGAGTATATAATGGCGGACAAATTATTTCTTCTTTCACTGAAAAAAAGAGAAAGAAAAAAATGCCCACTCTAAAAAAAGAAAATGTAAAATAAATATATGCTTAGCAAAGGCAGGAGGAATGAAGAGCTGCTAGTTAATTATGCTGGCCTAATCTTTGAGTGTGTGTGTGTGTGTGTGTGTGTGTGTGTGTGTGTGTGTGTGTGTGTGTGTGTGTGTGTGTGTGTGTGTGTGTGTGTGTGTAGGTGTGTGTGTGTGTAGGTGTGTGTGAGTCTGTGTGTAGGTGTGTGTCTCAGTGTGTGTGTGTCTGTCTGTGTGTGTGTAGGTGTGTGTCTGTCTGTCTGTGTGTGTGTGTGTGTGTCTGTCACTCTCTTTCTGTGTATCTGGTCTCTGTGTAAGTGTGTGTGTGTGTCTGTCGCTCTCTTTCTGTGTATCTGGTCTCTGTGTAAGTGTATGTGTGTGTCTGTCACTCTCTTTCTGTGTATGTGCGTGTCTGTCTCTGTGTGTGCCTGTCTGCCTCTGTGTGTTTTTCTGTGTATCTGGTCTCTGTGTGTGTGTGTCTGTCGCTCTCTTTCTGTGTATCTGGTCTCTGTGTAAGTGTGTGTGTGTGTCTGTCGCTCTCTTTCTGTGTATCTGGTCTCTGTGTAAGTGTATGTGTGTGTCTGTCACTCTCTGTGTATGTGCGTGTCTGTCTCTGTGTGTGCCTGTCTGCCTCTGTGTGTTTTTCTGTGTATCTGGTCTCTGTGTGTGTGTCTGTCACTCTCTTTCGGTGTGTGTGTGTGTGTCTGTCTCTGTATAGGGTCTGTGTGTGTGTGTGTGTCCGTCTCTGTGTGTTTTTCTGTGTATCAGGTCTGTGTGTGTGTGTGTAAGTGTGTGTGTGCCGATCTCTCTTTGTGTGTCTGTTCCTGCTGTCTGTCTGTCCAAGGGGACTCAAGCAAGTCTATGTCATTGTACTGCGGTGTCCTACAGCTAGAGCTGTTTGTGATGATCCAAACACCCCCCACACCCACCCACACCCACCCAAATAGCTGGCACAGTCACATCATAATAAACATATTTCAAGGTGTATGCTTTGTTTTTACACTGACACAAAAACTTTATATACATAACATGCTCACTCCTGCAAAATAAAAATTATTATGCAACAACAATAAGTTTATCAAAAACAATTGACAGTAGAATTTTTGATTATAGTGATTCCAAATCTGCGATATCATTATAATATAACAAACATATGCATAAGGAATATAATACTGGTCTATAGCTTTATAATGTCAAGCAAGACAGAAGCAGACAGAGTCGTCATAAATAACAACATAAACTTGCTGACTAAGCAGTTATAAAATATACATGTATTTTTTACTTGAAAACCTTTTTATCATCTAAAACTATCACTTGGGTGAAATCAAGCAATATCTCTAGGAAAAACCATTCTGCCGACCACTGTGACGTCATCGGTTACCATGACGTCACAAACTGACATCACTCTCTGCTACGGAAGCTGTCAGCCGTACTTTCGACACACAAGACACTGCTTATGGCTGATTACAAACTGAAAAAGTCAGAAGAGCAATTTTGGATGATAAATAGAATCTTTATTACCAACACGTCAATAAACGTCTATAAAATACCTTGGCAAGCCTGAGTGTTTTAAACTTTAATCGACTTGTGTTTATATATTTGATTCCAAAAGACACGAGAGTGAAATTCCCTATATATATGATCAGGCTTGATACGACATATGGCATAGCAGTACCCTCAGAACCACGGCAACAAACACTCATAGAAACAAGGAAGAACGCGTATTCATATGGACAAATCGACAGCTATGGCAACATATTCTCAAAACATTACAAGAAATATTTTAATGAAGACTTAATGCTGATCTGCATTCTGATTTTATGCAAATATTTTTTTTCAAAAATTGCAGAAGACTGCAGGTGACGAAGTTTACATATTGTACGTAAATGGTTATGAACACAGATACATGGAGTGGTGGCATCGGACAAGGGATTTTGGATGAGATAAGCAATCCTACAAGCTTGACATTGTAACAAAAAATATTTCATTTGCAGCAGTACAAGACACACAGATCTCTTCAACACCCTGGAAATAGACCGGTCAGACAGGGTGCTGACTCTGCAGTTTCCTGTCATCTTCCCCAGGCAAGGGAGTTCACTGACAATATACGTCCAGTTTCCACCCTTGCCGAACTAGGCTGGAATTTCTAAGCTCAATCGTAGCGCCACCAGTGGCTATTGTGAGTTATGTCCCTTCTATGTCCCTCCAATTGACCAATCTGATTCCATCTCTCATGTCACATGTATTTGCTTAAAATAAAATGGCGGCCCCCAGTCAAGACTATCTGATCAATAATCAAAATTCATATTGTGATAAAACAGGTCTTACTTTGCGAAGTACATCAAATGACGTGAGCACCTTGATTAAAAACATGAAAACATTTGGAAAATATCTGTTGACGCTGAGTTGGTGATACACATGCTTTGCAAATCCTGCAATCGATTCTAAATCTACATGGCATTTTACGAACCGGGTGTCAATTTCGTTACACGATTTTGGATTGGACTTTCCATAGACTTTTTAGTCTAGTCAATAATAACTCTATTATTCCAGCCTAATTCGGCAAGCATGGAAACTGGACTTTTAAAGTCAGCTAACTACCTTGCCTTGAGAAGATGTTTCCTGTAGGAATGTCATGAGAACCCATGCACATATCACTGTATACAGAGTATCATCAGGACTAAAGGTTTGGACCAACACACTTCAGCATATTCTTATATGCAAATAAAACTCTCTCCTGAAGATAAGAATATTTCACACCAACCATGTTGCAATATATCTTTGTATGCGATAATGATCCATTGTCTGCAAGGATGCAATGACATTGTTTGCAGTGATACAATGACACATTGTTTGCAGTGATACAATGACACATTGTTTGCAGTGATACAATGACACATTGTTTGCAGTGATACAATGACACATTGTTCGCAGTGATACAATGACACATTGTTTGCAGTGATACAATGACACATTGTTTGCAATATGACACAATCTTTGCAATGATACAATGACACAAAGTCTGAACGATTCAATGACACAAAGTCTGAATGATACAACGATACAATGTTTTCAATCATACAATGACACATTGTTTGCAGTGATACAATGACATATTATCTGAATGGTACAATGACTAATCTCTCAGTAATACACGGACACATTGCCTACAGTGACACAATCACACCTCCCTCAGGGACACAAGGGGACAGTTACCCTCACAACCATGTTCTAAGGCAACACAGTATCACAATGTTGTCAGCTGCTCTGGTTTAGTAGATGAGGCTCCAGGATATCAGTAACCATGGTAACCATGATGCTACCATGGAGACTGATTGGCCCCGCTGTCTGCTGTGGTGGTAGTCAGACAGGACATGGTTAATGTGGAGAGGTATTGAATCATGGGCTGAATCCGCCCCCCTTCACCAATGGTCTGCCTGCACCAGGTCTGAACTCTGAAAGGAATGGAGCACCCTTCCCCACACCCCATCACTGTCTAGATACTGCCTTTCCTAGTCATTTGTTGGTTTAAAAGCAGTATCAAGCCTCCGAGCATTGATTTTTCAATGTAACAATTTGTCTTGCCCTGATCGTCATGGAAACGAGTTAATCCTAAAGATTGCAAATGTGATCATTGAACAAATCTTCCCATCAACGGACCAAACAGAGCAGCTGACAGAGCAGGTGGGATACAGTTGGGTCCGGCGGCGTAACAATAACAGACCTCCTCTTATAACAATATTGATCTTTTCACATAAATATTTTTCTAAATTTGATAAAGTCATAAGATATATTGCTTTTTATTCCATGTAAAGACTTTGATTAACATCAACCCAATCAACAACACAAGTGTTTACAAGCGGTTTCATAACAATATGTTGTTTACAAAACAAACTTTCACAAACAAACATCAATGCCATGTCACTTTATAACAATTTTTTTAATTATTTCAAATCAGATCTTAGGTCTCGCTACCGTCAAACAAAGGTCTGTGGACATCCTGTTTACAGTTAACATCTGAGTGACCTTTCATCCAGACAATCAGAGCATCGCTTATTAGATCGGGAAAGTGATAGTCAGAATGTTTTTTCTAATCATGTAACATTGAAAAAGTTAACACTGGGTATTACGGGGTGCACGACTGATTCCGTCAAAGTCATAGTCTATCTCTCGCTTCAATGGGATAACATCCGCAACAGAAGAGACTTGCCACAGCCACACAATCTGACATCGAATTACAATTAGACATTCATGAATTTTTATTGGTTCAGTTTTCAAATTTGGGATCGCTATTTTTTAAAACATATTCTGGAATGGAAGTTGCCAGTTTGAAACTAGTGCCGTAAAGCTGCTTTCTGATTGGCTAATGCTGACAACTTGTTAGTCGTTTTATTGGTCAGTCAAAGTTCACGAGAGGTCGATCTGACGTGAGGTCTAATTTAACACCGCTTGTAACAGTATTCTAGTTATATCATGGCGTGTCAGCTTTATGGTAGAGGAAAGCTCGAAGTGATCGATGTCTTAGACATTTTTAACCAACGACCAAGGGTATGGCGCTGACAAACCTAGAAACATAATCAGGGCGAACCTGGATTCGAAACCCACAATCATGGGTTTCTGGCTTGCCCAGGGGACACAACTCTGCACAGCGAATCGCAGCACCTTAGACGACTGGGCCAACCCTGCCCCCTGTAGTCGCGATTTAGGGCACTAAGATCTGATTTGAATGAGATTGACTTAATAACATCATAAACACGTCACATTCTCAACCTGAATTTCAATACTTAAAAAACAGGATCAGTTTAGGTTCAGAAGTTAAAGTGCTGCAAGTCCTTATGACATCAAACCTCGAAATAAACATACACCAAAAAGGTATTAGGCACTTTGAATTTTATTCCAATAGTAAGCACTTGAACTGCCAAACTTTTCCCATTTTGAAATTTTCACGTTATACAACCAGGAGTTGCTTTCATCTGCCTATACACAAATATCGAGAAATAACATGTTTCAGTAATAGAAGGCGATTCATCAGCCAGTTGTGAATTAATAAGCAAAGATGGGTTAGCAAGCACCAAAGGATTCTCACAACCATTATCCTTCAAACTATTGTTTAAGCTTGAAAGGTGAGCTACAGTGCATTCGCACCAGATACAGCAGTGACCACCAACTGCTACAGCTGAAAATATGGGATTTTTTTTTTTATTATTAATTTGTTTAGGTTGACCGTGTCAGCCATTATGCAGGGTAAATAGATGCCATGGATCACCGTGGCAACCAGATACATGTAACCCATGTCACAATAATTATAGCAAGTAGCGGTAAGTAATCTTCTTATAAGATGGCCATGGCAACCAAAGGGGATAAAAAAAACACACCAGACATCACCATGGCAACAAGAGGTAAGAAATTTATTTGAGATATCGCCATGGTAACTAGATGCATTTAACCATGCTTGAAAATAATACATAATTCCTCAATTAATTTTCTTGTTCCGCTCAATTGTTTATTTTTTCACCATGTAAACAAATATTCCTGCATCAAAGATATTTGGCAACAGGAGTTAGTTATTACAGGAGTTGGAAATAGTTGTAGCTTAACTGCCATGGGTGTTTATTTATAGGATGTCAATGTTTATCATTGTAAAACATGATTTGACACCAGTTAAGGAAAAGCCATTCCAAGCAAATCTCATCAGAATTGTTTACATACTACTTTGACTTTCACAATAGCAAAAAAAACACACACAGCGACAACAAAAAGAACAAAATCCAAGCTGACAAAAAACGGGTTTGAGACGGATTCAATCCAAGACGCTTTGAAGTGCAACGACTTCTACATTTCTACAGACAAATAACGATCGTAGCACTTTCTTTAAGACTTGCGCAGCATTGGACAATAAAAGACAACAAAATCGCATCATTTCTACCAGCACATTTACAAAATATAGACACCAACACACGACCTATGTACAGCGGACTACATCCACGCATCTGTGAAACAGACATCAGATCGAACACACTTCCTCGTTTTAGGGCTGGGAAGGGGAACTTGGGTACAGTCAGGTACCCGGGTAGTAAATTTGGCCTCGTCCCAGCCCTATAATATTATGATTATTTTAATCCCATACAATTCAATGCAGTAGATACACCTCTATTGATTACAAAGTAAACATACATATACACTGAAGACATGAGACAAAATATATTAAATTCAACCGGAATTTGAACATCAGTCATTCAAATTATATACAAAAGCACTGTACAAAAAGTTCACTACAAATATTTTATCATGAACAGAAACTCCATGTTAAGGCTTCATGTATTTGTGTTACCTTAACAAAGCATTCGAAAGCCAAGACTGACAAGACACTTCAGGCATGGTCGAATCCATTCTTGTTTATGAAAAAGTTAACTTTTCTTTAAAAAATGTTGTTTTATTTGTATCAAAATTAATTGGACATTGCTTTCTTAGCATGAATGTTAGAACTTATATTTCCATTTTTACAAAATCAAGCCTGAATATTTGTTCATTTTCAAATCTATGACAAAAGGTCTGCCCTTAACATTCAACAAAGGAAATCTTTTTTGGTTTCGTTTTGAAAAAAAGATGCGTCCTGTTAGCCACATGAAGCACTTGGGGTAAATGACCTTAGCAGTGTGCACTCATGATGACATAGCACTGTGGAACGACAGTCTCTATTCTCAGATATGTCGGGGGTAGGGGTCATTTTTCATAGGTAGCAAATTTGCAAGAACACCTGCTGCTATGTGAAGTTTATTTCCTGAATGCTAGTGATCATTCTGTTCCAGTGTGCAGGATTTTGAATACCCATGCGCAAAAGATCCGGGGCTGTGAGATTGGGGAGTCTGGAGATGGAATCCCAGCCAGATTTGAGAAACAACACAATGTATTCCTCTAGACCGAGCCCTGTCAGCCATTCCTGCACCGAGGCAGGCTTGGCAAGTCCGTCATAGTTCTTGTCACTCTGGAAATACAATAGGAACAATTGCATGTATAGTCTTGAAGGTAATTCAAGGTACAGACGTTTACTACAATATCTGAAAAACTTTTGGACCTACTCCAGTCAAAGTTGGTATGAGATTATTAAACAGTCATACATAACTGGATATTACATTTAAAGACAATCGGTGCATGAATAAAAAATCTGTCTATTTAGCTTTCACTATATTTCATCAACAACCACGGGAAAGACAATCGGTGCTTTCGAGTTGAGTTGATTGGTTCAACTGTGTCATATGGCCCTGTGATGCAGGGGTAGCATTATGCAGATGGCTGTTTCAGTGAATGCTCGTTCCACCCGTGACGAACAGGTCTGGTTGTTGATAGAATATAGTGATAACTAAACAGACAGATTTTTTATTCATGCACCGATTGTCTTTAAATGTAAAATCCAGTTATGTATGACTGTTTAATAATCTCATACCAACTCTCCTACATCATACAAAATCCACTTTTGTCGGCAAATTCGTACTTTATGATTATTATTATAAATATTATTATAGTCAATGATCATCCTAATTATAATCTGCACACAGCCAAAGACTCTGACCCACTATGGGCACGCATATGGCACTGACAAACCCTCTGTAATAGTGAGTGAGTGAGTTGGGTTTAACACCGCTTTTAACATTATTCCAGTTATATCACAACATGTCAGCTTAATGTTGGAGGAAAGCCCGAAGTGATGCAGGTCTCGGACGTTTAGCACTGCGGTGAAACCCACGAGCACGGGTATGGTGTTGAAAAACCTAGAAACATAATCGGGCGTCATAGGTTTCTGGCGTGCCCAAGGGATGCAACTCTGCACAGCGAATCGCGGCGCCTGGGCCCCCCGTGCCCCCCCCCCCCCCCCCCCCCCCCTGTTATAAGTGACCTGGGTGCTTTAAAAAATTGACAAGGAGTGGGGGAGACTTATTAAAACCATACACAATGAGTTTTCAGAGATCGAACAATAGCGATAAAAATTAATCTAAAGTGACACTATAACTAAGCCAATTATTTCACATTCTGAACTGCTGAATCTGTATCATATAGAAGAAACATGGACCATCTTGTAAACTTTCAGTCTTTGTAGTGTCTTATAAAAATTACAGATTGGTCTAGAAGTCAGGGTGCTTAATATGGCAAATATGGTGATCAGAATGAATCTTGGATTCAAATCTACAATCATAGGCTTCTGGTGCACCTAAAGGATGCACTTCTGCACAGCGAATTGTGTCACCTAATGTGACTGGGCGACCCGTCGTGTCTATATATTTAAATAGTCACGATATGGCTCCAATATTGCTGATGTGACTATAAATTTTAACTCACTCACTCACACTATATATTTAACTAATTAACGCCAACAATTTGTTGTTGCGACATACCGATGTGGGTCGTTGTTTCTTTGGTAGAGGTGGTGGAGGGGTGTCTACCTTGATGTCATGTTTCCGACCTAGTTCGGCAGGTCTGGGCATCACGACTGGAGGAGAAACTCCTACACCGCTGAGGCATGATGGGACAGATTCACTTGGACGTATGTTGGCAGGAAGTTGTGATGTCGACACAACGGGCATGACCTGTCTCTGAGAAGCAGACGCTTGAAGCACAGACTGCCCCATGATCGGCTTGCGTCTTGGAGACGCGGACTGCCGGCCATTGGTTGGGTTCAGGGGCCAGACTGGTTCTGGGCTCGAACTCTCCTGGCCCAGACGAAGCAACACCTCATCACTGCTGTATCTTGTCTGACGAGCAGGTGATGAATGTCCGTTGCTAGGCAACTGGATTCCGACAGATGATGACATGGAAACAGGCTGGTGTCGTCCTTCTCGTGGAGTGGAGGGATGGATGTCTTCGGGATCCTGGTATTCCGTATCCAAGGCAACAATTTCTAAAATATACAAAACAAATCTTTAGCACATAACATATATCATAACATATATAATGAATATATCATAAAATATTTTATAATAATTTATCACTTGTCTGTTCTTTTTCTTCATCTTAGGCCACCCGTGAAGATCCAGGGTAGAATAGGCCTTCAGCAACCCATGCTTGCCGTAACAGGAGGCTATGCTTGTCGTAAGAGGCGACTAACGGGATCGGGTGGTCAGGCTCACTGACTTAGATGGTTGATGCATGTCATCGATCCCATTTGTGCGGATCGATGCTCATGATTTTAATCACTGGATTGTTAGGCCCAGGCTTGATTATTTACAGAGAGCCGTCATATAGCAGGAGTATTGCTGAGTGCGGAGTTAAACAACAAACCAACCAACCAAATCATCTTAAGCCAGTACCAGTAGCATCAATAGATCTAAGGATTCTCATTACCATACAATCTCATCTTAAAGCATTATTTCAACTCCTATTTTGGTTCCAAGTTTGATATAGTGCTGTCAAATCTACGGGTAACCTAGCTCTACACTGAAAACACAGTATGTTGATCTCCAAATTGTTGAATTAATTTTATGTAACACATAGTTTAATGCAAGCGTATTAACTTCTCAGACGGCTTTGGTTTCTTTATAAGGGAACTGGAGGGGTCAGTCAAATCTATAAACTGAAAAATAAATGTGTCACTTTACCATATGTCTTCCTGGACTTGCCAACCCTGTACTTCCCTCCCATAGACACACGCATCTCACCCCTGGAGGAGAAACAAAGACATTATAAAACATATCTCACCACTGGAGGAGAAACAGGACATTATTAAACATATCTTTCCCCTGGAGGAGGAACAAGACATTATCAGACATATCTCACCCCTGGAGGAGGAACAAAGACATTATCAGACATATATATCCCACCCCTGGAGGAGGAACAAAGACATTATCAAACATATCTCACCCCTGGAGGAGGAACAAAGACATTATCAAACATATCTCACCCCTGGAGGAGAAACAAAGACATTATTAAACATATCTCAACCCTGGAGGAGAAACAAAGACATTATCAAACATATCTCACCCCTGGAGGAGGAACAAGACATTATCAGACATATCTCACCCCTGGAGGAGAAAAAGGACATTATCAGACATATCTCACCCCTGGAGGAGAAACATCAGACACAAATCTCACCCCTGGAGGAGAAACAATGACATTATTAAACATATCTCACCCCTGGAGGAGAAACAAAGACATTATCAAACATATCTCACCCCTGGAGGAGAAACAAAGACATTATTAAACATATCTCACCCCTGGAGGAGAAACAAAGACATTATCAGACATATCTCTCCCCTCGAGGAGAAACAAGACATTATCAGACATATCTCACCCCTGGAGGAGAAACAAAGACATTATCAAACATATCTCTCCCCTGGAGGAGAAAAAGGACAATATCAGACATATCTCACCCCTGGAGGAGGAACAAGACATTATCAGACATATCTCACCCCTGGAGGAGGAACAAGACATTATCAGACATATCTCACCCCTGGAGGAGAAAAAGGACATTATCAGACATATCTCACCCCTGGAGGAGAAACATCAGACACAAATCTCACCCCTGGAGGAGAAACAAAGACATTATTAAACATATCTCACCCCTGGAGGAGAAACATCAGACACAAATCTCACCCCTGGAGGAGAAACAAAGACATTATTAAACATATCTCACCCCTGGAGGAGAAAAAAGACATTATCAGACATATCTCACACCTGGAGGAGGAACAAAGACATTATCAAACATATCTCTCCCCTGGAGGAGAAAAAAGACATTATCAGACATATCTCACCCCTGGAGGAGAAACAAGGACATTATCAGACATATCTCACCCCGAGAGGAGAAACAAGACATTATCAGACATATCTCATCCCTGGAGGAGAAACAAGTATATTATCATGCATATCTCACCCCTGGAGGAGGAACAAGACATTATCAGACATATCTCACCCCTGGAGGAGGAACAAGACATTATCACACACATATCCCACCCCTGGAGGAGAAACAGGACATTATCAGACATATCTCACCCCTGGAGGAGAAACAGGACATTATCACACATATCTCACCCCTGGAGGAGGAACAAGACATTATCAGACATATCTCACCCCTGGAGGAGGAACAAGACATTATCAGATATATCTCACCCCTGGAGGAGGAACAAGACATTATCAGACACATATCTCACCCCTGGAGGAGAAACAGGGACATTATCAGACATATATATCTCACCACTGGAGGAGAAACAGGGCACTATCTGACATCTATCTCACCAAGTCAAAGGATTACTTCTCTCCATATATTGATGTTGTTTGAATGTGTATTACAGTGACATTGTTACCTGAGTTTCCCTGTCTCCTCTCCGTTGTGGGTCAGCACACACTCGAAACACTGGAAGTCTGGCGAGAACTGATCCTTCAGAGAAACCACACACTCACCTGTAAACATACACAACAATAAACACTTGTTGGTGAAGTCACTGAGTGGAGGAAACCAATTCCACCCATTTTATAAAAATAATTTTAAAATATTACACGATAGTTATTACCAGAAGAAACAAAACAAAATTTCAGGTTTTAGTACTCATTTCCCAAATACTTGTCCACAGAAAGATCTCAGAAGGCATATGAGATGATGCAGAGCATTAGGCTGGGAAACAACAAGTACCATCTTTTAACAACTTCTGCTATTACATGTTCGGAGGTTGAACCACCGATCTTGTCTTCGGGCAGATGCTCTATTCACCAGACCACGAAGGCAGAGAGATGCTACTTACCATAAGACTCATCATCGTCATCACATCCCCGGACATGTTATTACATAGGTTCCAGAGAGATGCTACTTACCATAAGACTCATCATCGTCATCACATCCCCGGACATGTTATTGCATAGGTTCCAGAGAGATGCTACTTACCATAAGACTCATCATCGTCATCACATCCCCGGACAGCTATTAGTATGTGCTGCTCCTCCAGATAGTCCCTGTCTCCGAACATCGGCCGCAGCTGCAACAGGAAGCCATCCAGACCAAATATTTAAGTTTATTTTGTTGCACCTTGAAATATTCCAGCTGTACAATGTAGTCTGTAAATAATCAAATCTGGACCAGACAATCAAGTGATTGATATTGTGAGCAAGGATCCACGCCATTTGGCTATGCTGACATGCATCAGCGAAGTTACCAAGCATGACCAAGTCGCCTCTCATGACAAGCATTGGTTGCTGTGACCAATTTTAACCTGGATCTTCATGGGGAAAATGGTTAAGTACTATCATCCATAATTACTCAACGAGCATACGATGACACAACCAGCCAGCACAATTCAGTGAGTAGTACAACACAATTCAGTGAGTAGTACAACACAATTCAGTGAGTAGTACAACACAATTCAGTGAGTAGTACAACACAATTCAGTGAGTACTACAACACAATTCAGTGAGTAGTACAATACAATTCAGTGAGTAGTACAACACAATTCAGTGAGTACTACAATACAATTCAGTGAGTACTACAACACAATTCAGTGAGTACTACAACACAATTCAGTGAGTACTACAACACAATTCAGTGAGTACTACAACACAATTCAGTGAGTAGTACAACACAATTCAGTGAGTAGTACAACACAATTCAGTGAGTAGTACAACACAATTCAGTGAGTACCACAACACAATTCAGTGAGTACCAAAACACAATTCAGTGAGTAGTACAACACAATTCAGTGAGTAGTACAACACAATTCAGTGAGTAGTACAACACAATTCAGTGAGTACTACAACACAATTCAGTGAGTACTACAACACACAATTCAGTGAGTAGTACAACACAATTCAGTGAGAAGTACAACACAATTCAGTGAGTACTACAACACAATTCAGTGAGTACTACAACACAATTCAGTGAGTAGTACAACACAATTCAGTGAGTAGTACAACACAATTCAGTGAGTAGTACAACACAATTCAGTGAGTAGTACAACACAATTCAGTGAGTAGTACAACACAATTCAGTGAGTACTACAACACAATTCAGTGAGTACTACAACACACAATTCAGTGAGTAGTACAACACAATTCAGTGAGAAGTACAACACAATTCAGTGAGTACTACAACACAATTCAGTGAGTACTACAACACAATTCAGTGAGTACTACAACACAATTCAGTGAGTAGTACAACACAATTCAGTGAGTAGTACAACACAATTCAGTGAGTAGTACAACACAATTCAGTGAGTACTACAACACAATTCAGTGAGTAGTACAACACAATTCAGTGAGTAGTACAACACAATTCAGCGAGTAGTACAACACAATTCAGTGAGTACTACAATACAATTCAGTGAGTAGTACTACACAATTCAGTGAGTAGTACAACACAATTCAGTGAGTACTACAACACAATTCAGTGAGTAGTACAACACAATTCAGTGAGTACTACAATACAATTCAGTGAGTACTACAACACAATTCAGTGAGTAGTACAACACAATTCAGTGAGTACTACAACACAATTCAGTGAGTAGTACAACACAATTCAGTGAGTAGTACAACACAATTCAGTGAGTACTACAACACAATTCAGTGAGTAGTACAACACAATTCAGTGAGTAGTACAACACAATTCAGTGAGTAGTACAACACAATTCAGTGAGTAGTACAATACAATTCAGTGAGTAGTACAACACAATTCAGTGAGTACTACAACACAATTCAGTGAGTAGTACAACACAATTCAGTGAGTAGTACAATACAATTCAGTGAGTAGTACAACACAATTCAGTGAGTAGTACAACACAATTCAGTGAGTACTACAACACAATTCAGTGAGTACTACAATACAATTCAGTGAGTACTACAACACAATTCAGTGAGTAGTACAACACAATTCAGTGAGTAGTACAACACAATTCAGTGAGTACTACAACACAATTCAGTGAGTAGTACAACACAATTCAGTGAGTAGTACAACACAATTCAGTGAGTACTACAACACAATTCAGTGAGTACTACAACACAATTCAGTGAGTACTACAACACATTTCAGTGAGTAGTACAACACAATTCAGTGAGTAGTACAACACAATTCAGTGAGTACTACAACACAATTCAGTGAGTAGTACAACACAATTCAGTGAGTAGTACAACACAATTCAGTGAGTAGTACAACACAATTCAGTGAGTACTACGACACAATTCAGTGAGTACTACAACACAATTCAGTGAGTACTACAACACAATTCAGTGAGTAGTACAACACAATTCAGTGAGTAGTACAACACAATTCAGTGAGTAGTACAACACAATTCAGTGAGTAGTACAACACAATTCAGTGAGTACTACAACACAATTCAGTGAGTAGTACAACACAATTCAGTGAGTAGTACAACACAATTCAGTGAGTACTACAACACAATTCAGTGAGTAGTACAACACAATTCAGTGAGTACTACGACACAATTCAGTGAGTAGTACAATACAATTCAGTGAGCACTACAATACAATTCAGTGAGTAGTACAACACAATTCAGTGAGTACTACAATACAATTCAGTGAGTAGTACAACACAATTCAGTGAGTACTACAACACAATTCAGTGAGTACTACAACACATTTCAGTGAGTAGTACAACACAATTCAGTGAGTAGTACAACACAATTCAGTGAGTACTACAACACAATTCAGTGAGTAGTACAACACAATTCAGTGAGTAGTACAACACAATTCAGTGAGTAGTACAACACAATTCAGTGAGTACTACGACACAATTCAGTGAGTACTACAACACAATTCAGTGAGTACTACAACACAATTCAGTGAGTAGTACAACACAATTCAGTGAGTAGTACAACACAATTCAGTGAGTAGTACAAAACAATTCAGTGAGTAGTACAACACAATTCAGTGAGTACTACAACACAATTCAGTGAGTAGTACAACACAATTCAGTGAGTAGTACAACACAATTCAGTGAGTACTACAACACAATTCAGTGAGTAGTACAACACAATTCAGTGAGTACTACGACACAATTCAGTGAGTAGTACAATACAATTCAGTGAGCACTACAATACAATTCAGTGAGTAGTACAACACAATTCAGTGAGTACTACAATACAATTCAGTGAGTAGTACAACACAATTCAGTGAGTACTACAACACAATTCAGTGAGTAGTACGACACAATTCAGTGAGTAGTACAACACAATTCAGTGAGTAGTACAACACAATTCAGTGAGTACTACAACACAATTCAGTGAGTAGTACAACACAATTCAGTGAGTACTACAACACAATTCAGTGAGTAGTACAACACAATTCAGTGAGTAGTACAACACAATTCAGTGAGTACTACAACACAATTCAGTGAGTAGTACAACACAATTCAGTGAGTAGTACAACACAATTCAGTGAGTAGTACAACACAATTCAGTGAGTAGTACAACACAATTCAGTGAGTAGTACGACACAATTCAGTGAGTACTACAACACATTCAGTGAGTACTACAACACAATTCAGTGAGTACTACAACACAATTCAGTGAGTAGTACAACACAATTCAGTGAGTACTACAACACAATTCAGTGAGTACTACAACACAATTCAGTGAGTAGTACAACACAATTCAGTGAGTAGTACAACACAATTCAGTGAGTAGTACAACACAATTCAGTGAGTACTACAACACAATTCAGTGAGTAGTACAACACAATTCAGTGAGTACTACAATACAATTCAGCGAGTACTACAACACACAATTCAGTGAGTACTACAACACACAATTCAGTGAGTAGTACAACACAATTCAGTGAGTAGTACAACACAATTCAGTGAGTAGTACAACACAATTCAGTGAGTACTACAACACAATTCAGCGAGTAGTACAACACAATTCAGTGAAACCCACGAGCACGGGTATGGTGCTGACAAACCTAGAAACATAATTGGGGCGAACCGGGATTTGAACCCACAATCATAGGTTTCTGGCGTGCCCAAGGAATGCAACTCTGCACAGCGAATCACGGCCCCTCAGACGACTGGGCCACCCATGCCCCCTCAGTTCAAGGAAGAGCTGTATTTCTCATCACAGAGAACATACCAGAGGTAGTTGGTCAGAATGGGGAGGGAGGGAGGGAGGGGGGGAGGGGGGGGGGGGGGGGGGGGTAGGAGCATCAGTAGCCTGGTTGTCTGAGGCACGACAATTTCAAGGAGCACAACATCTCATGACACAGGACGTACCTGAGGCAGTTGGTCAGCATGCCATTCCGGACAGCAGTAGAAGCTGCTCTTACTCTCTTTAAACTTCACGTTGGACTCACAGCAGATAATGTCTGAAACACAGAGAACACTGTATAGTGATACACCTCTATTACTTCATTCATGGTCAGGGCCCCATTGTTGTCTGAAACACGGAGAACACTGTATAGTGATACACCTCTATTACTTCATTCATGGTCAGGGCCCCATTGTTGTCTGAGACACACAGAACACTGTATAGTGATACACCTCTATTACTTCATTCATGGTCAGGGCCCCATTGTTGTCTGAGACACACAGAACACTGTATAGTGATACACCTCTATTACTTCATTCATGGTCAGGGCCCCATTGTTGTCTGAAACACGGAGAACACTGTATAGTGATACACCTCTATTACTTCATTCATGGTCAGGGCCCCATTGTTGTCTGAGACACATAGAACACCGTATCCATGATCGGGGCCTCATTGTCTGAAACACACAGAACACTGTGTCCATGATCAGGGCCCAACTGCTGTCTGAGACACACAGAACACTGTATAGTCAGTGACACACCTCACAAAGTGTCCCTCGTGCCACATCTGTCATACATACAGTATAAAAGTCATTTCTAAAGTCATTCCTAGTTAATGTACCATATTTCCCCAATAAATCCCTGTTTTTTTTATATACAGTCGAACCTCAGATAAAGGGACTCACCTGACAGACAGCTGGAGTAGAACTCCAAGATGAAGTGTTGCCGGACACACGTCCGCACCTGAAACACAGCAACATACATCGGTAATAATCACCTTTAATTTAAAAATTAACCTCCTAAATCTTATATGACTGACCATTTATAATATCTTCCATACAACATTATTCAGCATACTTGGTGAAGATTAGTTGAGGTGAGGTGAAATTGGGTTTAAAGTCGCGTCCAAGATTATTGCACTTATATAGGGACATGTGCATGCACGTGTATGTGTGTGTGTGTGGTTGCTTGTACTAGTCCGGACTGATGCCGATTTATAGTGCTAGCTCACTGAGATACCATGCCGCAGTTTAACATGAATACCCCTCTCAGACACAGTATACTGACTCCGAGCCGACCAGTCCTTGTTTTAGCCCCTTAATGCCGAGCGCCAGACAGGGTAACAACAAGTACAATCTTTTAACGTCTTTTTGTATGACGCAGACGGGGATCGAACCCCGGACCTTCCGCTCTCCGGGCGGACGCTCTACCACAGAGGTGGTCGGCTCAGGGATGAGCAGTCTTCCTGTTATATCACGTCATGTGTCATCTTGATGTGAGGACAGACGGAAGTGGGGGTTTGAAACAACAAACATGGGTTCCTGTCATGCCTAAGGGACACAACTCTACACAGATATCTGTGATATTTTTGATGATTGAGGCTATCCACAGTAAAGGCAGTAACCGAAAACAATCAGTTCAAATATGAATGGACATTGTCAATCGATCACTTCTATTTATGGAACAAAAAGGATATTTTTCTCTTTTAAAACCACATTAGCATAATTTAACTGAATGCACAGATTACTGGACCAAGGTCAAGTACTTGTGATGAAATGACTTGTCAGCGGTAGAAATTTAACCCCCGAGGGCTAACACCCAACCTGTGTATGGAAATATGCTCTAAATATTCAAAGAATCCTACTCTACCTGCGCCTCAATTCTGTTAAAGAGGATTCTAATGCTGGAGTTCTCTGTGAGCATGGCCTGGCTCTGTACGAACTGCGACGCGATCCCGACGGTGAAGGACGCGAACACAGGTCGGTGGTCACTGTTCAGCAGGTTCTCCACACTTCCTGAAACAGTAACACCCTCAAAATGAAACAAGATGGGGAAAGTTTAAAAACTTGATTCTCAGACAATCCCTTTCCAACTATTGGTCAAAATACCCCACATTTGGCATGATAAAAGTGAGTGAGTGAGTTGGGTTTAACGCCGCTTATATCACGGCATGTCAGCTTATTGTGGGAGGAAAGCCCGAAGTGATGCAGGTCTCAGACGTTTACCACTTCGGTGAAACCCAAGAGCACGGGTATGGTGCTGACAAACCTAGAAACATAATCAGGGTGAACTGGGATTTGAACCCACAATCATAGGTTTCTGGCGTGCCCAAGGCTGGACTCTGCACAGCGAATTGCGGCGCCTTAGACGACTGGGCCACCCGTGCCCCCGGCATGATAAAAGGGGCCACTTAACTGCAGGACATGTGTTGCTTTCCCTAGCCATAAAGTATGACCTTCCTCAGTGGGAGTTAAGACAATCATAGTACCAAATCAAGTAACGTAGACTGAGGAAGGTCACAGGGTCAAGGTTGTCGTAACTTCCACACCATAACATAGACTGAGGAAGTTCGCTTTCATGAACCAACAAATATAGACATGGCTTGGTTCCAGTGACAGACACTGGTGCGTGCTCAGATTACACCACACAAACGTTTATTTTACTTGTCCCACCTGGGTTATTTTTAAAGGTGAAGTGAAATGGGGTTTAATGATTCGAGATTGTTGCACCTATATAGTGATGTGATTTATGGCGGTTTTACAGTGATAGCCCACTGAGATACCATGCTGAAGTTTAACATTGATATCCCACTCAGACACAGTATATTGACTCCAAGACAACTAGTCTTTGTTTTACGACCTTAAATGCCAGGCGCCAGACAGGGTAACAACAAGAACCATCTTTTAACGTCTTCTGGTATGACACGGCTGGGGATCGAACCCACAACGTTTCACTCTTGCAGACACTCTGACAATACACAACGGAGGCAGTCGATAGTTTAACAGAATGCAACCCACCATATGCGTTGTTCTCGATGAAGGTCCCTGGGTAGGAATGCCAGAGTACTCGGTCACACCAAGACGGCACATTGATTCTTTCCTGAAATAACATAAATACACCCGTAAAGAATATGTTAGGCAGCGTTAGAAACTAACCGTTTCAGTCCACTAGTCCTTATAATGATAGCATATAGCAAAACCTTTAAAATGTCAAAATTCTACTAGTCCTTAGGATACCTTTACTATTGGGCAATTTGGCAAGGACTATAGGACTAGTGCCAATTTTTAACCCTGTTAGGTAGAGGGAATAAATACTCTGGACGCTGTTGATATGGACACGAGAAAATCTACATATTAGGCAGTGTATTCATGATTCATTAATCCGGAAATTGGTTAATTCGGACAATTTTACTGGGAAAACTACCTTCCGGATAAACAAGGTTTCAACCTAGTTTATGATTTTGAAGAAAAGGAATCTGCAAACAACTGCCCTGAACTACGAGATCAAAGATTATTTTTTGTTGTTGACCCTGCTACCAACCCACCCCTGTCTTCTTGACCTTCTTCCAGTCATACTTGTAGCCCGGCTTCCCTCGGTACAGGCGGTAGGTCGGCATGAAGTTGATCTCGCTCTCATCTAAAGGAAACCACAAAACATGCAGGACTTAGTTCTAGAAGTATTTGTGAGTGTTTTGTTTGAACAGAATGGATGGAATGGCGATTCATAAATGGCAGGCAACGGTAATTGTTTGTATGGAGACTGTCCTCTTTAGACCGGTAATGGTGGGCAATGAGTGGGAAATACAAGCCTACAAGTCTTATAATCATAAAGGAAATCACTATCCCTTTTTCAGACAAAAACAAAGAACTTTCAGAAAGAAAAATATTCACTTAGTCGTTATCCCTTTTCCGACAAAAACAAACAACAGGGACAAATTATATTTTTCCTATGTCATACAACTTTTCAAAATGTTTTACAAAAAGCATTTTAACAACCTATCGAAAAATGAATAAAGAAGAAGTGAGTTAAAAATTAACGTCACATTGGCAATATCTCAGCCATATAGTGACCGAATAAAGATAAACAGACATGACAAAATTAAGCTTCCACAGTCTGGCAATTCAGAGACAAAAATGTTATGTTTGTTTGTTTGTTCACAAGTCGACTACAATGTTTATGAGGATTTAAGAGGGCTGAGCAGCGGCCATAACCAGGTTTTGGATTCAGTCTGCTGTGGCGGCCATTTTGAAAATTGGACTTGAACCCCTTGAGAAAATTCAGCTGTCACCATTGGTGGTAACGAGCATGTGAAGTTTTGATTTCTTTTTTCTTTTTCTTCTGACCAGAAGATATTTACAGACTACGCTGATGCTAGTCACCGGCCACTAGACGCCAGACAAGCAGGCCATGACATTAACACACTTTCAGCAAGGGGAGCTACCAAGGAGGACACAGGCAGGCTGACGACTCACTGAAGTTGAAGAAGGCATCTTTGTCAAACTGTGTCTTCCTCAGTTGGTCTCTGTCTAGCAGAAATGGAATGTCGCGATCTTCGGCTCTCTTCAGCACAACCTGCAGACAAACACAACAGACGACGTGTATTCCTGAGTTACCTCCCCTTATCATATAGAGTGAGCAAGAGTTGTGTTTATTATATTAGAAATTTGTATAGCATACTTTCCATGTGCTTAGACCATGACAGATCTTACTATTGATGTCACTTACATCTACTTTCTCCACAATTCTGTAGTTGAGATCTCCGAAGAAGAAAACGTGGTGGAACTTGTGCGATACATCAAATCCTTCAAAACTCTTTGGACCAAGTGACAACCCTTTAAGGATGTCTCTGAAATTCTGGTTCCGCCTGAAATGTCATAATTTGAATCACAGTCAAAGTTAGAGGTCACAACCATCAGTACATGGCTATTTCTTTAATATTCTTAAAATGTTTTTATCTTTATCAGTGAAGAAATGATTCCCAAGAAACCACCCACCTGTGCAATCTCTCGTCCCCAGAAGTCAGATGTGCGTTGATGAAACAGATGGAGGTACCGTTGAACTGGAATGAAACAGCTGAAGCTCCCTTGTTGCCTAGCAACAGATATAAAGATATATAAGTTTGTTTCCATATTTGCAGATGTTTCACGCGCAGGCATGCACGCACACAGATAATTATGGGCGTGATGTTAAACCCCATTTACCCTCAACTCATTCAGTATCAGTTATAGAGTATCCCACCATGATGCAACCGAACGAGTCGTAATGTGATTCAAACAGCCATGATCTTTTGTGTCACATCAGTGAGTAAGTGAGTGAGTTGGGTTTAGCGCCGCTTTTAACAGTATTCCAGTTATATCACGGCGTGTCAGCTTAATATCGGAGGAATACCCGAAGTGATGCAGGTCTGAGACGTTTACAACTTCAGTGAAACCCACGAGCACGGGTATGATGCTGACAAACCAAGAAACATAATCGGGTCGACCCAGGATTCGAACCAACAATCATAGGTTTCTGGTGTGCCCAAGGGATGCAACTCTGCACAGCGAATCATGTCGCCTTAGACGACTGGGCCTCCTGCCCCCGACTTAAGTTTACAAACAAGAGATGAATGTTGTGGACTAGGACTAGTCCTGTGAACTAGAAGGAACAATATTTAACTTGTCCTAAATGTTTGTAGCTGGTCCTGCTTGAACAAGACATATATGTTTATTATTTCCCATAGAGTTGTACATGCAGTACACTGGTGCAAATATCACTTCTCGCACACCGGTCATTTGAATCTTAATGTCATGTGATGTCGGAATGACGTCACTCTAGAATTAACATCATAGCTAAAGATTGTTGATGTCTTCCGACAAATTGCGGTTTGCTAGGACAGTGGTGATCAGTGCATTTTTCTAAAGGGGAGCTCAAATGGATTTAGAAATAATGGATAATAAAGAAATTATTACAAAAACGTGTGTCATTCTGATTTTACGAAACTCGTGTCACTTCAAAAACTGCATGGGGTACTATTCTCCTAACGGTACAACAAGTCTGATGTTTCAATAGCGACGTACCAAGAGCATTAGCGATGCCGGTCTTGACAGAGGACTTCTGTACGTGGGAGATGCAGTGACGGTGTTGTGGGTTGATGAGGACAACGACGCGGATACCCCACAAGTTGCACATCTCCAGCTGAAAAAACGGATCAGTAATGCATGTACCAACTAGTTGGAAAAGTTCAAAAATACCAAAATGCAGCAGAAAAAGACACACTTTATATGTATTTTCAAGATAAAAACAACTGTAAAGAAATCCCAGCCTCTTAGTTAGGTGAGTGAGTTTAAACAGCGGTGCATACCATCTCCACGTCCACCATGAGCGTGGCCTTCAGCGATGCCTTCAGCGTGTTGACCCAGTCCTTGTCGTTGAGAGCACTCTCCTGTGTGCCAATCACGTAGATGTCGTGTGGAATGCGGGACAGTGTGCGATCCAGGGACTTGCCTTCACCATTACACTTCAGCCAGTGTTTCAGCGTGTGGTCGGGGGCCGACTTCCCTGGAAGACACCATGGTAACTGAGGTAAACTGGTTGCAGTATGATTATGGCGTCACCTGTCGTGGCGACCAATGACTGAATGCTGAACGCTCACAGTCAGATCAGATTTAGTGAAGCTAAAAACCTTCTACATTCACCTACCCACATTCCACATCACACAACCCATATTCTCTGTCCATCTACCCACATTCCACATCTTCCTATCCCTATCCATATTCCACATTCACAAACCAATATTCCACATCTTCCTTCCAATATTCCACGTTCACCTACCGGTATTCCACATCTTCCTTCCGATATTCCACATCTTCCAACCCATTTTCCACATCTCCCTACCCATATTCCACATCTTCCTACCCATATTCCGCATCTTCCTACCAATATTCCACATCTTCCTACCAATATTCCACATCTTCCTACCAATATTCCACATCTTCCTACCAATATTCCACATCCACCTACCAATATTCCACATCTTCCTACCCATATTCCACATCTCCCTACCCATATTCCACATCTTCCTACCCATATTCCACATCTACCTACCCATATTCCACATCTTCCTACCCATATTCCACGTCCACCTACCCATATTCCACATCTTCCTACCCATATTCCACATCCACCTACCCATATTCCACGTCCACCTACCCATATTCCACGTCCATCTCCCCATATTCCACATCTCCCTACCATATTCCATGTCCACCTACCCATATTCCGCGTCCACATACCTGTATTCCACGTCCACCTACCAATAATCCACATCCACCTACCAATATTCCACGTCCACCTACCCATATTCCACGTCCACCTACCCATATTCCACGTCCACCTACCCATATTCCACGTCCCAATGAACACGGAGATCTGATCCACTTTCTCTTCCTTGGAATGTAAGCTCTTCATGTGTCGGATCTGGAGGCAGAAGTTCTCTCTAGCATGGGCGTTCTCAAACATGTAGGACGTCTTCTTCTTGCCCTCGATGATCACGTCAAGACGGCTGTTGTCGGACGTGCTTTTCACTAGCTGAAGGACTGGAAGTAAACAACAAAATAATGTGAGATAAGGTAGAACAACAAGTAAAATATTTCAGGAAGGCATAAAAAAAAATCCTGTGTCTCAATTAAACGATGCCTTTTTGGGCCTGTTTGAGCCTTAAAGTTTGGTAAAACATTTATATTTGGTCCAGTCTGATGTTATATTTTTGTACTGCCTTGACTGGTCTACAGTGTCACAATTGACTGAGCGCAATTTACAGTGCAGTTGCAATAATTATCCATCTCAAGATCTCACATCCATGAGCTCTCAGCCATCATTCAGATCCAAAAGTTTAAAGCCATCGTGACCCTGATTATGATCTCAAGGTCACCCCTATCATGTGTGTTTCCCATGCACAGCTTCAGAGGGAGCAGTACGTTGGAATAAAATTTAAAAAATAACATAAATAAAATATCTTTTGGTTGCAAATGCAACAGATACATTGTATAATTAAGATATGAGTAAAAATGGTTCACGTGAACCTTGGCTCAAAGAATTTTTGTTTTATCTAATGGCCTGACAACTTTATGAGAATCTGGTCCCCGTTCCACAAAGCGATCTTAGCACTAAGGTGATCGTAAGTCCCATACTCTAACATAGGTTTACGATCCTCATAGCGCTAAGATCGCTTTGAGGAACGGGGCCCAGTACTTTACTGAGAAAGTGTTATTCCAAATATAACATTTTTTAAATCTACATTAGCTCTCCGGAAGGAAACATTGTCCAACTGCACATTTTGGGCGCATTTGGGCGTATCATGGACAGTTCATTAATAATCATCTGGTTATTTACTTCGGTCATGTGTGAAGGTGTTGCTTGAGTCTAGGAAGTCCTTGGAGGGTTTGACGGCATAGAACCTCCCTTGCCGAATGTCCACATTCAGTGTCACCTTACTGGTGAATTTTCCTGCCTTAGACGAACGCACCTGGAAACAGAGGCATCATTTAAAAAGATTTCTTGCTTGGATGTTGTTTAAGGTTGCACTCATGAAAGTTCCGGGGCCTAGTGGTTAAAGTGTTCGCTCATCACGCCGAAGGCCTGGGTTCAATTCCCACATGGGTACAATGTGTGAAGCCCATTTCTGGTGTCCCTGGAATATTGCTAAAAGCGGCGTAAAAACATACTCACTCATGAATGAATGAATGAATGAGCGTTTCAGCTAAATGATGGCAGCCTGTAAATATCCATGTCTGGTCCAGACAAACCAGTGATTGATATTATGAGTGAGTGAGTAGCAATATTCCAGCAATATCATGGCGGGGGACACCAGAAATGGGCTTCACACATTGTACTCATGTGGGGAATCAAACACAGGTCTTCGGCCTGACGAGCGAACCCTTTAACAACTAGGCCGCGCGACCGCCCCGATTGATATTATGAGCAGCTATCAAGATGGGATATGGTGACTGCCATCAACCAAGTCACCATCCAGTCATTAAGACACCAGACAAGCATGGGTGAGGCTGGGGACCAATTGTAATAGAGGTAATATAAAGCAAGATGATGTACTTGACAATAGAGTGATGAAATTCATTTGGATGAAAGTGGTGGAGAGAGGGCACTGTAAGGATGGTGAGGATGGTGAAGAGGATGGAAAGAGGGAGGACTCACCTCGAGGGACAACAGGGGTGTAGAGAAGGGGACTCACCTTGAAGGATGACAGGGGTATGGAGAGAGAGGACTCACCTCGAAGGACAACAGGGGTATAGAGAGAGAGAGGACTCACCTCGAAGGACGACAGGGGTATGGAGAGAGGGAGGACTCACCTCGAAGGACGACAGGGGTATGGAGAGAGGGAGGACTCACCTCAAAAGGACGACAGGGGTATGGAGAGAGAGGACTCACCTCAAAGGACGACAGGGGTATGGAGAGAGAGAGGACTCACCTCGAAGGACGACAGTGGTATGGAGAGAGAGAGGACTCACCTCGAAGGACGACAGGGGTATGGAGAGAGAGAGGACTCACCTCGAAGGACGACAGTGGTATGGAGAAAGGGAGGACTCACCTTGAAGGACAACAAGGGTGTAGAGAAGGGGACTCACCTTGAAGGATGACAGGGGTATGGAGAGAGAGAGGACTCACTTCGAAGGACGACAGTGGTATGGAGAAAGGGAGGACTCACCTTGAAGGACGACAGGGGTATGGAGAGAGAGGACTCACCTCGAAGGACAAAAAGGGTATGGAGAGAGGGAGGACTCACCTCGAAGGACGACAGGGGTGTAGAGAAGGGGACTCACCTCGAAGGACGACAGGGGTATGGGGGGGAGGACTCACCTCAAAGGACGACAGGGGTATGGAGAGAGAGGACTCACCTCGAAGGACGACAGGGGTGTGGAGAGAGGGAGGACTCACCTCGAAGGACGACAGGGGTACTGAGAGAGAGAGGACTCACCTCGAAGGACGACAGGGGTATGGGGGGAGGACTCACCTCGAAGGACGACAGGGGTATGGAGAGAGGGAGGAATCACCACTAAGGACAACAGGGGTATGGAGAGAGAGGACTCACCTCGAAGGACGACAGGGGTATGGAGAGAGGGAGTACTCACCTCAAAGGACGACAGGGGTATGGAGAGAGAGGACTCACCTCGAAGGACGACAGGGGTATGGAGAGAGGGAGGACTCACCTCGAAGGACGACAGGGGTATGGAGAGAGGGAGGACTCACCTTGAAGGATGACAGGGGTATGGAGAGAGGGAGAACTCACCTCGAAGGATGACAGGGGTATGGAGAGAGAGGACATGGGAGACGGCATCTGCTGAAGAGCCCCGGTCAGCTCCCTCATCTCGTCGGAGTCCAGGTAGTCGTAGCTGCTGTCGGGGAGCTGCTTCACCACCTCGTGGGCCTGAAACACAAACACATCAGTTCAGGAGAGGTATCCATGGCATCCAATTTCTCAAATAATATCTGATAAATAACAGATCTTACCAAAAATACAGCCATCTAAAACAAATATTTTTTTAAGCTGAAAGAACAAAAGGGACACTTCCAAATCAAATTAACCTAAAATACTCAAAAGGTTATTTTTATAATAAAAAATGATACAGAACGGCTTACAAATTTCATTTTTCCACCCTTTCTTGAAGGGAATATTTTCCTACTTGATACAAAGCAGTCAAGAGACATTGCTGGAGCAGGTCGACCTGTATACTACTACCCATCACAGTCTGATGTCAGTTTTAAGTGGATTGACAAGATCTGTTCCAAGATTGGTCAGCTTGTGTTGTGGATGACCTCACAGAGGTATTCTGGCTCTCAAGCTGTCCCAATAGTTGATTGTTTGACCTAACAGTGTCACCACCCTCCATTATGCTACAGACAAACACTCTCTGTCCCCATTGTCTTAGTCAACACATTCGTTAACTGTTCATTATCCCCCACTCAGCCACCCTGCTGCAGCTCGGGGGATATGACTGAACACCTGCCTGTGATGCAGCAAGACAATGTTACACCTGGAGTCCATGGATTAGGGGATTACGAGAGATAATCCCCTGTTTTAACATGGAAGTACAAGTTGTAACACACTGTTTCAATCATGTTTTACACACTTAACGTATTCGACGTAATAAGCGCCCAGGGCGCTCTCAAAATTAGACCCAGGGGGCTCTTATTAGAATAATATTTTGGTGAAAAAAACAGAGTTAAAAGATAAATTTCGTGGTTTATGCTGACAGCCTGAAATGTTTATGTACGAGAGATATATTTTTCCAGAATTTAATTGCCCATTTCTTTTTTACTTAATTACTTTCTGAGTCAAGCAGATATATTTAGAACAGTTATATACATCTAAAACATTATTTCCTTTTTTTAAATCTTATAATGTTCCCTAATTTTGGGAAAAACACAATAGAGTGATAAATAGGTGAGTGAAAAAATGTTGGTTGCCCAATGAAAAATGCAATAACCCAATTAAGATAGAAACCCTAGATGTAAAAACTCAATTGCTCAAAAAGTTATCTGGAGCTCTGCCATACTGACGCCAGTACCCCTTTTTGTGATTCAAGAAGTCCATCATGCCATAAAAACACAGAAAAAGAATTAAAAAATCAAAATATTCTTTTTTAATAGTTTCCTTTGATAATAAAAATGACAGTGAAATTCAGCTGTCAGATTTTAGATTTTTAGTAAAATCTAAATATTTTTAAATTTTTATACTTATCCTGCATTACTACGTCTAAGGGCCCACCCATTGCAGACTTGCCCACCCATTGCAGACTTGCCTCCCCACTATAGCTTCAGAAATGTTCTTAGCACGGGTGATGAGATGTGACGTCACCACATGACAGTGGCGATGGGTCCTACTAAAAGTAGACTTAAGACGGAAACATCCTTTATTCTTCACCTTGGACCGTCGCGATGCGCTGTGTTCTTTGTCATGAGGTAAGCAGTAGATGCATTAAGGGGTAATGCAGGATAAGTAAAAAATATAATATTTTTAAGGACCAGGCCAAGCCAATTGTTTTTATCACCCAGAATCTACCAACCCAAATCAATCTTAAAGATGATTTAAAAAATCCTGTAAAATTCATTTGGTCAATTTTACATTAAAATTAATATTGAATACTTTTCCTGTCTCACGTATTGTATTTTGTCTCTTGTCTGGAAGTACACGTTGTAACACAATGTTTCCACTTGTCTCTGTCTGGTGATACACCCAGTTATAAACCTACTGGCTGTTTGTGTAACTCGGTATGGAGTTTTTGAAATCGTGGTAACACCTCACAGGAGGGCTTACAATCATTGTAAACCCTTGATAGAACAAAAACTACAAACAGCCTACGAGACGCACGTGCAGATTTTGTGCCATTGCGAAACGCACATGCAGATTTCGCACCGTTGCGAAAGCCACGTGCTGAGGTCACCGGTTTCATTGAACCTAGTTCACGACTGCAGGCGATATTTCATCTCCGAGAAAGGTTATACATTTGAGAGTTTTTATTACAGTTATTTAATTAAAAATGCTGTCTATGCGATGGGGCAGACGCTCTACCCCCCAGGCCATGGAGGCGGCCTTTATCAGTGAGGTGAGGTGAGGTGAGGTGAGGTGAGGTGAGGTGAGGTGAGGTGAGGTGAGGTGAGGTGAGGTGAGGTGAAATTGGGCAGACGCTCTACCCACCAGGCCATGGAGGCGGCCCTTATCAGTGAGGTGAGGTGAGGTGAGGTGAGGTGAGGTGAGGTGAGGTGAGGTGAGGTGAGGTGAGGTGAGGTGAGGTGAGGTGAGGTAAAATGGGGCAGGCGCTCTACCCACCAGGCCATGGAGGCGGCCCTTATCAGTGAGGTGAGGTGAGATGTATTACCTTCTCTTCCAGCTTGAGGACGTGGGAGTGACAGTTCTGAAGCTTGTCGGCCAGGAAGCTGATGTACGTCATGGCTACCTGAAGAAGGAAGATCACAGGTGTGTAATAATGTCTTGTCTCTTCTCGATCTGCCACGTTAAATACTCCAAAGTGGAATAAAGTGACCATGGGATATCCTATCAATCTTTTGTCTTCATGTTAAATCTGCCCTCAAAAGCAAGCAAGTAACTCCTTGTTATAAAAGAAAACATTCCAAGAATAAGATTTCATGTGGGCATCCCGACTTTGTCTAAAAGAGATACCTTTCCAATGAGAGTGACTATTGGTGTGGAAATCACTATTGCGATAACTATTGATATTGAAAGAAACTATTGCAACAACTATTGATATTGCAAGCAACTATTGCGATAAAAATCGATAGTTTTCAGTGTATCATTTTAGATGGACTTCTGTTTCTTGTCAAGCTTCTTATTTTCTTAAACATAGCCCAAAGACTTCCAAACACTCGATTTTCCCCCCAAGTTTGTAACAAACTCCACTTGACTATCACCCTCCGCCATTTTACTTTAAGAAAGACCGGTTGCTAAGTATCAAGGGCAGTTAACTCTAATCTTGGCTCGGGTGAGTTCGCGAGCATGTTTCGGTTACTCAATCACATGATATGGTAAATACCATCGAAACTATCGATATTCCTAACTGAAATCGATACTATTGATCAGAAAATGATTACACAATTGATTGATTGGCTTTAAGTGCTTACCAATAGCAATATATCAATATTTCGATTTATCGTGACACCCCTACTTTATAATGTGTTTCATAAATGTGTTTTTTCCGATTATTTTGATCATCTACAGTTTTGAAAATTAAATCTGTGAAACAATTAATTTTGAAAGATTGACCTTGAAACAGGAAGAATAACCATGTGCTTCCAAAACAACGACTTTTGAAAAAGATTTCTTTCATCATTTTCATGGACGAAAAGCTGATGATGGTATGCAATCATATCACGAAAAAAAACATCAGTTGAATGATTTGAACATTCAAGGGAGATGACTCTACTCTCTGGCACACTGACAATATTATTTCGATTACAATGACGATATACTACTTTTGGTAGTATACATTATGTTTCCAAGAAACAGTCAAGGCTAAAAGATCACAGGTACAATTCCAGAAAGAATCCCCACTGTGCTAGGCATCCACTACGATGCATGGAGTTTACCTTGCAACCAATTGACTTATGTTCACAGTGAGTGAGTTGGATTTAACGCCGCTTTTAACACTATTCCAGTCATATCATAGTGTGTCAGCCTAATGTGGGAGGAGTGATGCAGGTCTCAGACGTTTACCACTTCGGTGAAACCCACGAGCACGGGTATGGTGCTGACAAACCTAGAAACATAATCGGGGTGAACCGGGATTCGAACCCACAATCATAGGTTTCTGGCGTGCCCAAGGGATGCAACTCTGCACAGCGAATCACAGCGCCTTAGACGACTGGGCCACCTGTGCCCCCGACTTATGTTTACAAACAAGAGATTAATGTTGTGACCCTAATACTCTTCCCACAGCTACATTATGTTGTTTGTCCATATGAATTTCTGTTCCATTTCAACTATCACGTAATAAGTTTTAGTGAGAGCGCCAGGGGGGAAGTTGGGTGCTTTTCTGTTAGTCTGCAATCACGAAACAATCTGATTGAAAGAAACAAACATAAATTCATCTGGAAATAGTAAGTCAGTTGTAAACCTTTTCCCAATTCACTAGAATGGCATTTCCAAAGGTATTCACAAAACTAAGAATAAATATCACAACATTGGTGGTTAGAGGAACATTTTCAAGATTCTTGTCATGGCTCTTTGCCCACTGGTGGCAGCGATGATGCCGGGAGGATAACGATGGTGTCATATGCTTGAAGAAGGTGGGTTTTCAAGAGTTGAAGGGAGATAACTTACCCCATTCATGGTTAACCCCGAGTGTCGAGAGCGGTCATCTTCATCTTGAGTCAGCAGATCTTTGCACAGTGACAGCTTCAGGAGGAATACATCCAACTCTCTGGGGAAATAAAAATGTAGTGGACAGATTATAGGTGGGGAAATAAAAATGTAGTGGACAGATTATAGGTGGGGAAATACATAGCGGACAGATCATGGGTGGGGAAATACATAAATAGTGGACAGATTATAGGTGGGGAAATAAAAATGTAGTGGACAGATTATAGGTGGGGAAATACATACATAGTGGACAGATTATAGGTGGGGAATATATACATCGTGGACAGATTATAGGTGGGGAAATACATAGTGGACAGACTATAGCAGGAGAAATATATACATAGTGGACAGATTATAGGAGGGGAAATACATAGCGGACAGATCATGGGTGGGGAAATACATAAATAGTGGACAGATTATAGGTGGGGAAATATATACATAGTGGACAGGTTATAGGTGGGGAAATACATACATAGTGGACAGATTATAGTTGGGGAAATACATACATCGTGGACAGATTATAGGTTGGGAAATATATACATAGTGGACAGATTATAGGTGGGAAATACATTCACAGTGGACAGATTATAGGTGGGGAAATACATACATAGTGGACAGATTATAGGTGGGGAAATGCATACATAGTGGACAGATTATAGGTGGGGAAATACATAGTGGACAGATTGTAGGTGGGGAAATATATACATAGTGGACAGATTATAGGTGGGGAAATACATACATAGTGGACAGATTATAGGTGGGGAAATACATACATAGTGGACAGATTGTAGGTGGGGAAATAAATACATAGTGGACAGATTATAGGTGGGGAAATACATACATAGTGGACAGATTATAGGTGGGGAAATATATACATAGTGGACAGATTATAGGTGGGGAAATACATACATCGTGGACAGATTATAGGTGGGGAAATATATACATAGTGGACAGATTATAGGTGGGGAAATACATACATCGTGGACAGATTATAGGTGGGGAAATACATACATAGTGGACAGATTGTAGGTAGAGAAATACATAGTGGACAGATTATAGGTGGGGAAATACATAGTGGACAGATTATAGGTGGGGAAATACATACATAGTGGACAGATTATAGGTGGGGAAATATATACATAGTGGACAGATTATAGGTGGGGAAATACATAGTGGACAGATTATAGGTGGGGAAATACATACATAGTGGACAGATTATAGGTGGGGAAATATATACATAGTGGACAGATTATAGGTGGGTAAATACATACATGGTGGACAGATTATAGGTGGGGAAATATATACATAGTGGACAGGTTATAGGTGGGGAAATACATACATAGTGGACAGATTATAGGTGGGGAAATACATACATCGTGGACAGATTATAGGTGGGAAAATGTATACATAGTGGACAGATTATAGGTGGGAAATACATTAATAGTGGACAGATTATAGGTGGAGAAATATATACATAGTGGACAGATTATAGGTTGGGAAATATATACATAGTGGGCAGATTATAGGTGGGGAAATACATTAATAGTGGACAGATTATAGGTGGGGAAATATATACATCGTGGACAGATTATAGGTGGGGAAATATATACATAGTGGACAGATTATAGGTGGAGAAATATATACATCATGGACAGATTATAGGTGGGGAAATATATACATTTTGGACAGATGATAGGTGGGGAAATATTTACATGGAGGACAGATGATAGGTGGGGAAATATTTACATGGAGGACAGATTATAGGTGGGAAATACATACATAGTGGACAGATTATAGGTGGAGAAATATATACATAGTGGACAGATTATAGGTGGGGAAATATATACATAGGGGACAGATTATAGGTGGGGAAATATATACATAGTGGACAGATATCTGGGGAAATATATACATAGTGGACAGATATCTGGGGAAATATATACATAGTGGACAGAAAGAGGTAGCTATTAAGAAAGACATGCGCATGTCTGTTTGTTGTAGAACATCGAGGTCATCAATAATCCAGCTATATGACAGCAGATTGTAAAGAGTTGAGTCAGGTTCAGACAATCAAGTGATTGATATCGTGAGCAATGATCCATGATCCATGATCCATCGTGATCCATGCTGTCGGGATACAATGACACTGTATCAATTAAGTCATCGAGTCTAACCACCGAATCCATTAAGTTGTGTCATACGACTAGCATAGGTTATTCTAATCTGACTTCTGTTCAGACAATGACTGACCTCTGTAGACCTTTGCCTGCAATCTCCAAGAGCTGTTGAAACTCTGGCATCATGTCATCCCCGGCGCGGTAGAGAGATGCGTCCTTCTCCATTCCGCTGTCGATGTACTTCTTAATTCCATCCACAAACTCACCATCACAGCTGTCACCACAAACAAAGCACAAATGATCAAAAGACACCACTTGACTGATCTATACTGAACCACAAAAGAAACGTCACCATGGATAGATATATGAGAAACCTTATTTGTCCAACACTGTAAACATACTTTGAGACATATTACAAAGATGAAACTTGACAAAACTGATCATCAAGGTTGAAATTAAAGTGTCAAATGTTCTTATAGTGAAATACAACTCTAGTCTCTGAGAAAATGGCATCACAAGTCAGTATCTCGAGTCCCCCGTTTTCAAACCAGGGGAATAATACGGGACGACTTTGTTGCTGGTCCTAGTTACCAGGGGTATCAATTAACATGGAAACGACTATATGTTGCTGATCCTAATTTTCACTACCAGGGGTATCAAATAACATGGGATGCCTATGTTGCTGATACTGGCTATCAGGGGTATCAAATAACATGGGATGCCTATGTTGCTGATCCTGGCTATCAGGGGTATCAAATAACATGGGATGCCTATGTTGATGATCCTAGCTATCAGGGGTATCAAATAACATGGGATGCCTATGTTGCTGATCCTGGCTATCAGGGGTATCAAATAACATGGGATGCCTATGTTGCCGATCCTGGCTATCAGGGGTATCAAATAACATGGGATGCCTATGTTGCCGATCCTAGCTATCAGGGGTATCAAATAACATGGGATGCCTATGTTGCTGATCCTAGTTATCAGGGGTATCAAATAACATGGGATGCCTATGTTGCTGATCCTAGCTATCAGGGGTATCAAATAACATGGGATGCCTATGTTGCCGATCCTAGCTATCAGGGGTATCTAATAACATGGGATGCCTATGTTGCTGATCCTAGCTATCAGGGGTATCAAATAACATGGGATGCCTATGTTGATGATCCTAGCTATCAGGGGTATCAAATAACATTTGATCCTATGTTGCTGATCCTGGCTATCAGGGGTATCAAATAACATGGGATGCCTATGTTGATGATCCTAGCTATCAGGGGTATCAAATAACATGGGATGCCTATGTTGCTGATCCTGGCTATCAGGGGTATCAAATAACATGGGATGCCTATGTTGCTGATCCTGGCTATCAGGGGTATCAAATAACATGGGATGCCTATGTTGATGATCCTAGCTATCAGGGGTATCAAATAACATTTGATCCTATGTTGCTGATCCTGGCTATCAGGGGTATCAAATAACATGGGATGCCTATGTTGCTGATCCTGGCTATCAGGGGTATCAAATAACATGGGATGCCTATGTTGCTGATCCTAGTTATCAGGGGTATCAAATAACATTGGATGCCTGTGTTGCTGATCCTGGCTATCAGGGGTATCAAATAACATGGGATGCCTATGTCACTGATCCTGGCTATCAGGGGTATCAAATAACATGGAATGCCTATGTTGCTGATACTGGCTATCAGGGGTATCAAATAACATGGGATGCCTATGTTGCTGATCCTGGCTATCAGGGGTATCAAATAACATGGGATGCCTATGTTGCCGATCCTGGCTATCAGGGGTATCAAATAACATGGGATGCCTATGTTGCCGATCCCTGTTATCAGGGGTATCAATTGAGGTATGTTTTGAGATTACCAGGAAAGATCCAGACGGGCAAAGTTGCTGAGGAAGCCATATTTGAAAGTTTTTGAGACATGTCTGTCGGTGCCGCTGGGAACCTCCTCCGGGAGGTATGGTGCAGTTGGGATACAGAAGCCATCAAGTATCTCTTCTTCATCTGGAAGTATAAATATCATCCTGGTCAGTGAACTGGACAACTCAGGACTAAAAATAGTTCAAGACAGTATCATCATAACTAGGGGATACCAGACAATACCATCAAAACTAAGGAATACAACACAATACCATCAAAACTAAGGAATACCACACAATACCATCAAAACTAAGGAATACCACACAATACCATCAAAACTAAGGAATACAACACAATACCATCAAAACTAAGGAATACCACACAATACCATCAAAACTAAGGAATACCACACAATACCATCAAAACTAAGGAATACAACACAATACCATCAAAACTAAGGAATACAACACAATACCATCAAAACTAAGGAATACCACACAATACCATCAAAACTAAGGAATACAACACAATACCATCAAAACTAAGGAATACAACACAATACCATCAAAACTAAGGAATAATAACATCAATACTAGAAGAAGAAGAAGCTTATTCGGTATCAAAGGCGGTATGGCTAAAAGTACAATACATGAGCTAAGCTTTCCATCATAACTAGGAAATACCACAAAATACCATCATTACTAGGGAATACTATATAATACCATCAATACTAGGGAATACCACACATTATCATCATAACTAAGTGATACTAGGAAATATCATCATAACAAAGTGATACCAGACAATATCACAATAACAAGGACAATACTAAACAATAACATCATAATGAAGGAATACCAGACAATAACATCATAATGAAGGAATACCAGACAATATCATCATAATGAAGGAATACCAGACAATATCATCATAACTAGGAAATATCACACAATATCATCATAACTAAGTGATACTAGTCAATATCATCATAACTTAGGGATACCAGACAATATCATCATAATGAAGGAATACCAGACAATATCATCATAACTAGGGAATATCACACAATATCATCATAACTAAGTGATACTAGTCAATATCATCATAACTAAGTGATACCAGACAATATCATCATCACATGGGCAATACAAGACAATAACATCATAACAATTGAAAACCAGACAATATCATCATAATGAAGGAATACCAGACAATATCATCATAATGAAGGAATACCAGACAATATCATCATAGCTAGGGAATACCACACAATATCATCTTAAGTAGGGAATACCACACAATATCACCATAACTAGGGAATACCACATAATATCATCATAGATAGTGAGTGAGTGAGTGAGTATGGTTTTACGCCGCTTTTAGCAATATTCCAGCAATATCACGGCGGGGGACACCAGAAATGGGCTTCACACATTGTACCCATGTCGGGAATCGAACCCGGGTCTTCGGCGTGACGAGCGAACGCTTTAACCACTAGGCTACCCGACCGCCCCTCATCATAGATAGGGAATACCAGACAATATCATCATAACTAAGGAATACCACACAATATCATCATAACAAGGAAATACTTACTAAGACAATGACAACACAGCTAGTTTTAAACCAGATGATATCATCATAACTAGAGAATAACAGGTCATTATCATGCAAACACGAGAACTACAGACGACAATCATCCTTATAACAAGGAAACAACAGACACTTTCAACATTAAACATACATGAGAAATCTCTCATTAATATACTTAACAATCAGGTGCACCTGACTAATTCATCGCGGATGCAAATTATTCTGCCAAAAAGGGTTTTCTTTTCAAAAAATAAATCCAACAAATGACAAATTTTAAAGAAGATGGCATGGAAATCTTGTTATGCATAATGTCAAGAATATTAACCTTCTGATGGTAACAAAATGACACATCAAACGCCAACCACCGCATCAAAACCACGCTGACATTACAGCTAAAATAGTTTCATTATCTATAAAGCAACATCCATTCTGCTAAAGTCGAGAGGCCTCATAAATAATTCAGTGTAAGAAGTTTGAGAATAAATACAGCCTGCATGTACAACTGGAGGACAAACACATCGAAGCCAGCATGGCAGCTGTGTGTGTGGTCCAGGCAGGTTGATTAGAGACCTGGATGTATCTCTTGTAGGTAGACCATTGGCCAGAGTGACCACAGTACCACGGTAAGGTAATGACAGTCAGCCATGGTAGATCTAATGTACCAGACAGACCAACTGACTTCCACTTTTATTGAGGTGATTAAACTGATGTGTGTGTGTGTGTGGGGGGGGGGGGGGGGGGGGGGGGGGGGGGGAATGGGGGCACCCAAACCAGCTTGTTATACCTAAAACCAGATTGTTATACCCTATACCCCAAACCAGCTTGTTATACCTAAAACCAGCTTGTTAAACCCCAAAACAGATTGTTATACCTAAAACCAGCTTGTTTTACCTAAAACCAGCTTGTTATACCTAAAACCAGCTTGTTATACCCCAAAACAGATTGTTATACCTAAAACCAGCTTGTTTTACCCCAAACCAGCTTGTTATACCCCAAACCAGATTGTTATACCTAAAACCAGCTAATTATACCCAAAAACAGATTGTTATGTCAAAACCAGCTTTGTATACCCAAAACCAGATTCTTATGTCAAAACCAGATTATTCTACACAAACCAGATTGTTATACCTCAAACCAGTTTCCTAGATCCCAAACCAGACTGTCATACCCCCAAAACAGTTATTTCCAGACGTGTTATATCCCAAACAGGTTTGTTATATCCCAGATAGCTTGTTATATCTGAGAAAATTTGTTATTTCATAGACAAGTTGTTTTTTTCCCCAGACAGTTTTTTTTATATCCCACACAGTTTGTTATATCCCAGACAACTTGACATTGTTTGTATCGCCCCATGGGATGACCTCTACAAGACATGTTGTTGTCCTGGGACTGACCACATACCTGACTCCGCCTCCACGGCCTCCGGTCGGTCTGTTGGTACTGGCTTCCGTAGTCCACACACCAGACCGTTCTGATCTCCCCGGACCAGGTATCCCTGAATCAGATCCTCGATGTTGTTGAAACGCACGGCTTCCACATTGCCTTCAGACTGGAAGTTTGAAAACATGATTGGTTTTAAAATAGGATTCAGCATCACTTATCCTTCTCCAATAAAACAGATCAAAGAAGTCGAATGAGTTGAGCTTGATGCCATGCACTTTCAGCAGCACTGTGGTACTTTGGAATGTGTTAAAAGGTGAGTGAGTGAGTTTGTGGCCACTTAAGCAACACTGCAGCTCTATCAAGTTAAGGGTGAGTGAGTGAGTTGGGTTTGATGCCACTTTCAGCAACACTGCCACTCTATCAGGTTAAGGGTGAGTGAGTGAGTTTGGTTTGATGCCACTTTCAGCAACACTGCAGCTCTATCAGTTTAAGGATGAGTGAGTGAGTTGGGATTGATGCCACTTCCAGCAACACTGCAGCTCTATAAGGTTAAGGGTGAGTGAGTGAGTTGGGTTTGATGACACTTCCAGCAACACTGCAGCTCTAGCAAGTTAAGGGTGAGTGAGTGAGTTGGGTTTGATGCCAATTTCAGCAGCACTGCAGCTCTATCAAGTTAAGGGTGAGTGAGTTGGGTTTGATACCACTTTCAGCAGAACTGCAGCTCTATCAGGTTAAGGGTGAGTGAGTGAGCTGGGTTTGATGCCACTTCCAGCAACACTGCAGCTCTATAAGGTTAAGGGTGAGTGAGTGAGTTGGGATTGATGCCACTTCCAACAACACTGCAGCTCTATCAGGTTAAGGGTGAGTGAGTGAGTTGGGTTTGATGCCACTTTCAGCAGCACTGCAGCTCTATCAGTTTAAGGGTGAGTGAGTTGAGTTTGATGCCACTTTCAGCAGCACTGCAGCTCTATCAGGTTAAGGGTGAGTGAGTGAGTTGGCTTTGATGCCACTTTCAGCAACACTGCAGCTCTATCAGGTTAAGGGTGAGTGAGTGAGTTGGGTTTGATGCCACTTTCGGCAGCACTGCAGCTCTAATGAATTAAGGGTGAATGAGTCAATTTCGCATATGGGTACAATGTGTGAAGCCCATTTCTAGTATCCCCCTGTCGTGATATTGCTGGAATATTTCTAAAAGTTGCGTAAAACCATACTCACTCACTCTGAGAAATCGCTCAGAAAGTCTTTAATAATACATGTCAGTTAGAAGCACCCACAATGGACGTGCCACTAACAAGACTGAGTACAGTATGTGTACAATGCAAATACAAGAAAACTGGTGATAACTGATAATAATATTACCTACCAATTATTTTTTCGTAAGCACAAGAAGTTGATCTACATTTGATAGCATGAAGTCAAACAATGTGGGACAATATCGTATAGATAGTGTTTGCAGGTCGAATCAAACAGTCAATCAATTCATGAGATAAACCATTTTCAAGGAATAGTTTGTGAACCTGATCTCATAAACAATGCTTAATCATGTACGAATGACTACGTCGTATATGAAGGTCACACTCATGAGGGTGCAGTGAAGGTCGCACATAACATTGTTTGTCTGTAAATGATTTCATCCTACACATGCCACACCCTATTCCCACTCCAGCTGTCTTAAAGGTCATCATCAAGTACTACTACTGGGTTTCCAGACCTTAAGTATCATGTGACATGACTAGGTCATGATAAAATTCATTTGTTGCAGTACAGAGAGTACCAACAGACACTCCTGCAGACAAACATGGCAGACAACATTCACAATATACAAATTGAAAGGTTATGACATTTAAAGAAATGTGACAACCATATAAAAGTTAAAAGGGGGCTAAAATACCTGAAATGTTTGTGCGTGTCTGTGTGTGCCTCTGTGTGTGCATGAGTCTGTACATGTGTGTGTGTGAGTGAGTGAGTGAGTGAGTGAGTGAGTGAGTGAGTGAGTGAGTGTGTATTAGTGAGTGAATGTGTGTGTGTGCCTCTGTGTGTGTGCCTGGGTGAGTGTACGAGAGTGTGTCTCTGTGTGTGTGTGAGTGTGAGAGTGAGTGAGTGAGTGAGTGAGTGAGTGAGTGAGTGAGTGAGTGAGTGAGTGAGTGAGTGAGTGAGTGTGAGTCTGTGTCTGTGCATATGTGTGTATGTTAGTGTGTGCATGCATGTGCGCACCCACATGCATCCGTGTTTATTGTTTAATGCAGCACTCAACAATATTCTTGCTATTTGACAGCAGCAGTCATAAATCATGTCATGACCAGATAATCTGGTGATTGATATCATGAGTAGCGATCCACACCATCGGGGTATGATCACCAAGTCCCCAGGTCTGGCCCTCTCCTACGGACCCGTGAAGATTCCGGGGTAAAATAGATCTTAAAAGGCGACTATGCTTGTCGTAAGAGGTGACAAACGGGATCGGGTGGTCAGGCTCGCTGACTTGGTTGATGCATGTCATCGATCCCAATTGCGTGGATCGATGCTCATGATATTAATCACTGGATTGTCTGGTCCAGACTTGATTATTTACAGACCGCTGTCATATAGCTGGAATATTGCTGAGTGCGGCGTTAAACAACAAACCAACAAACCAACCAACCAACCCTCTCCTTAACCCGTTAAAGTGGAATCTTACGACTACCATAGGTTCCCAGAGACCAATTCTGACCCAGAATCCCCATGGGGGTAAAAGCTCCGTCGTATTAGTTCCGCTGAATGCCTACGTCGACCCCCCTAAATGTACGTGAACATGCTTAGCATATATGGCAAATGTAGTAAACATTCACAGATTACTTTTTGAATAACAGGGCAAAGAATAAATGTTTTTGTGTTCTTTACATTCCTTCAAATGCACCCACTATTTCCATATATTTAAGAACTGACTCCAATAATCTTTTCGTTTAAGGACGCATAACCCTTAAAAACACAGTGTGTATTTACACAAAGTGTGCACCTGTTTTTACGTGCATAACTCAATAAATGCAATGCGACAAACCAATCTAAAAAACATGGTATCACAATCCGATCGATATGCAGTTGAGGTAACCTTGCAGACACTACTCTTAATAAGCTCCATACATTAATGTAATGACTACTCGCTTGAAAAAACTATTGCATAACGTTCCAAAACAAATTAGATCCAGGTCTCTTGAAGTGTGAGTGCTTAATTTAAAGAAATATGGCTGCCAAAAGTTTGGCAATATATATAGAGAGAGAGATGGAGCTGGGAAATGAATATATGTCTTAAGCTTTGATTATTTTAACTATGACATCAGAAGATAAATATTAGGAATAAAAAAGGGTATTCCTAATACTTGATGTTCTAATTGGTACAGTGATCTGACTGTTCTGATTGTTACAGTGTTCTGACTGTTCTAATTGTTACAGTGTACTGACTGTTCTAATTGTTACAGTGTCCTGAATGTTCTAATTGTTACAGTGCTCTTTTCTCATCAAATTGTAACAGTGTTCTGACTGTTCTAATTGTTACTCAGTTCTGACTGTTCTAATTATAACAGTGCATTTTACTCATCAAATTGTTACAGTGTTCTGACTGTTCTAATTGTTACAGTGTTCTGACTGTTCTAATTGTTACAGTGTTCTGACTGTTCTAATTGTTACAGTGCTCTTTACTCATCAAATTGTTACAGTGTACTGACTGTTCTAATTGTTACAATTATTCTGACAGTTCCAATTGTTAGTGTTCTCTGCTTATCAAATTGTTACAGTGTACTGACTGTTCTAATTGTTACAGTGTTCTGTACTCATCAAATTGTTAGTGTTCTGACTGTTCTAATTGTTAGTGTTCTGGTATTTCTGACTGTTCTAATTGTTAGTGTGCTGACTGTTCTAATTGTTACAGTGTTCTGACACCCAGCTAATAATCCCAATTTGTCAAAACAAGTGGCACGAGTTACTCTCAAATGATACCACAATGAACTGAAATGCCTGCACCCCAAAGTAGCAGAAAAGTACAAATCTTTGTCGGAGAATGGAAAGAAAGCCTCGTGCAGGGACTTCACCTCCATGAACAGACTTCACCTCTGTGACTCCCTCAGTTCAATATGAAAGGATCCAATCTATTTCTAACCAAAGCACTGAGTCCCACAAAGGCCGAGTGAGTACAGGTCTGTTTCCACTTCAAGCTAATGTCATGGTTAGTGTACAACTGAGAGCTGCAGCATGACTATAGGTGTGTACTTGTGTGTTATGTGCCATGAATAAACAGCACCAATTTATTAAACAATTGTTTTTCGAAGTATCAGTGAGTGAGTGAGTGAGTTGGGTTTAACGCCGCTTTTAACAGTATTCCAGTTATATCACGGCGTGTCAGCTTAATGTGGGAGGAAAGCCCGAAGTGATGCAGGTCTCAGACGTTTACCACTTCGGCGAAACCCACGAGCACGGGTATGGTGCTGACAAACCTAGAAACATAATCGGGGCGAACCAGGATTCGAACCCACAATCATAGGTTTCTGGCGTGTCCAAGGGACGCAACTCTGCAAAGCGAATCGCGGCGCCTTAGACGACTGGGCCACCCGTGCCCCCTTTGAAGTATCAAACCTGACTGTCTAAAGATGGAGGTTTACCTAACTTGTTCCAAACTGTTGATATTATGTGATCACAAACATATATTTGTTTGTTTAACACTGCACTCAGCAATATTCCAGCTACATAACAGCAGTCAGTAAATAATCGAGTATGGACCAGACTATCCAGTGATTGACATCATGAGCATCGATCGACGCAACTGGGATACGATGACAGGGATCAACCAAGTCAGTGAGTATGGCTATCGATCCTGTTAGTCGCCTCTTACGACAAGCATAGTCACCTTTTAGGGCAAGCATGGGTTGCTGAAGACCTATTCTAACATGGATCACCGCTGTTGTATACTTGCGTAATGAGTAATGTGGCATGAATAAACAGCACCTGTTTTCCTGAGTATCAAGGGGTGGTGGGGTAGCCTACAGCTGTCTGTAAATAATCGAGTCTGGACAAGACAATCCAGTGATTGATGTCATGAGCATCGATCCACGCAATTGGGATCGATGACATGCATCAACCAAGTCAGCGAGCCTGACCACCTGATCCTGTTAGTTGCCTTTTACTGCAAACATGGGTTGCTGAGGAGCTATTCTACCTCGGATCTTCACGGGTCAATTATTGCATTAAACAGTCAATTCAGCCTTGACATTTGTCATTTTTTTCTTCCCTATTCCCTGCAGCCCCACCTTTCACTTCCTGCCTGATTAAAATTTTGGAGGAAATAAAAAGAAATATGTGAAACCGGAGTTATTTTTAAAAATAGTTTCTAAAACCTACCGACCTAAATGTTTTGGTTAAAAATCTGTAACACCCCCCTACCTCCATTGACCTCCAAAAAACCATTGTGGTCTAATAAGAGAAATTGATCAAATAATGGATTTACTGAATGAAGTATAAAAATCATAATGGATTACATGAACATAAAACCAAACAATTTTGGTGTATGAAGATATGGATCATATCTCATGCCCAGTAGCTATGTCAAACAGCTTGTATTACATGGAGTCCATGGCCTGGGGGATATATAGCTGAGCCAGGGGTGAGTGAGTGAGTGAGTTGGGTTTAACGCCGCTGTTAACATTATTCCAGTTATATCACGGCGTGTCAGCTTAATGTGGGAGGAAAGCCCCAAGTGATGAAGGTCTCAGACGTTTACCACTTTGGTGAAACCCACGAGAACAGGTATGGTGCTGACAAACCTAGAAACATGATTGGGGCAAACCGCGATTCGGCATACAAGGCATACAGCAATGAGCAGGTGTATCAGGTAGCCCAATATGTACAATCTGTTGTCAATAGCGACGATTGACAGGTGATTGATTTAGCTCCACGACTCAGGTATGTCATACAGACTTTCGGGTTTGAGTGAGTGAATGAGTGAGTTGGGTTTTACGCCGCTTTTAACAGTATTCCAGTTACATCACGGCGTGTCAGCTTAATGTGGGAGGAAAGCCCGAAGTGATGCAGGTCTCAGACGTTTACCACTTCGGTGAAACCCACGAGCACGGGTATGGTGCTGACAAACCTAGAAACATAATTGGGGCGAACCGGGA